ACCGGGAGAGGCGCTCCCGGGGGGGGCTGGGGGCTGGCGCGGCCAGCGGCGGCGGGGCTAGCCGGACCCGGGCGCCCTCGCTCGCCTCGTCGTCGGGATCCGACAAGGAAGACAATGGGAAGCCCCCGTCCTCCGCCCCGTCCCGGCCCAGACCCCCGCGGAGGAAGCGGAGAGAGTCCACCTCGGCCGAAGAGGACATCATTGATGGATTTGCCATGACCAGCTTTGTCACTTTTGAAGCGCTGGAGGTAAGGGGGACCCCCCTCCCCCCAGTTTCCCTTTATGCACGACCCTACTCGGCTGCGCCCGGCTCTCCTGCCTCCCCCGCCGCGCTCCGGGCTGTCTGTCTGTCTAGCTGAGGTCTTATTGTTGGGGGGGGGGAGCGGGGGGCGCGGGCAGATAGGCAGTGGGAGGGAATCGCAAAGCGGTGCCTGGTCTCCTCGTTTCCTCGTTCTCGCAAGCCTTTCCCTTGCGCCTCCTCCCTGCACCCCCTCCACAGCAGATGGGCAGAAAGAAAGGGGTTCAGGCATCACAACAATGCGCCCCCTCTCTACGGATAGCTCTGCCCCTACTCCTTCCTCCTCTCCCTCCCCAATCATGGCTTCTTGGCTGGTGGAAGTCTCTTAGCTAGGTTTGGGGCGCCTGTGGATGGTTCTCTGTGTGCTTTCTACAGAGCCGTATGTGTGTGTGTGTGTGTGTCCCTGTAGTATATCCTTTTCCTGGGTGTCCTCGGGACCGGAGACCGATGGGGTTTGAGGTCTCCCCCCCACCCCGCTTTTTTTTTTTTGTTTGGTGAAGCTGGGAAAGGGGGCGTTTTCTCCTGGTTGGGAGAAAGGAGGGAGGAGGGGAGAGAAGAGGAAAAGATGGAATATCTTTCCGTATTCTGTGTGGTGCTCTCTAACTGAAAGGGTTAATTGTAACATTGTACACATACGTATGCACATGTGTGTGTGTGCATGAGCAATTTAGTTAAAGGCCAGAAAAAGGTACACCAGGGAGGAGAGAATACAATCCTCACTGGTATCTGAAGGGTTTGTCACCAATTGTCCCTCTCCTCTTCCTTTTTTGTATTTTCTTTTTCTAAGTGGTTGGCTCTGTGTGTGTGTGTGTGTGTGTGTGTGTGTGTGTTTCTTTATTCCTTGGGCACCTGCAGCATGATTTCCAAATGCACATTTTCCTGCTGGCTAACAGGCTTCTGGGGTAGGAGTGAAGGGAGGTGGGAGGTAGAGGGATACCATCCAGGGGTCAGGGGAAAACTATCTTTGCCTGGTCGGATCTGATTTGGTGCTGGGATTGGTTATTGGCCTCTATAAATTTAACCACCACCTTTTCTCCCCCAACCTCCCTATCTTCACCTCCACCAACACACACACACACACACACACACACACACACACTCGGACTCACGCACAAGGCTTTGACGTTTGCAGAGTTGGTCCAGCTTTCTAAAGCACAAAACCAAAATATGAGTTGGTTTATAGCTTTTCATGCACCTGATGTGATGGTTTGAGATTACTGAAGGAAACTTTTCCCTTTCATTTGTGTGTGTGTGTGTGTGTGTGTGTGTGTTGTTTTTCTTCTGTTACTGTGGTATTGTTTCAGATGCTAAAATTCAAGCTTCGTTAATGACAGCTTAAATCTCACATTCAGTGTATAGTAACTATAGGTTTAGATCCGTGATTCTGTGTCTGTGTTTGGGTGTCATATTTAAATATTTCTAAAACGGAAACCTTCCTGTCAGTGTTGTTCTTTTCTGTTTAAACTACTTTTGGTTAGGCTGGTGGTGGTGGTGTATGGTGGCCAGTGGTTGGGGAGAAAGGAAAGGTAGTGGTGGTAGTGGTGGTATTGGTGCTGGCCATAGATTTTGATGTTAGTGATTGAAGCAGCTACCCTTTGGTTCTAGAACTGGTGTTTTATTGGCTAAAATTCTGAGTTTTGAGGTTCACCACTTATTAGGATAATTCTAACTGTGGAATTTAACTTTGCCAGAGTGGGTGGTTACTGCCCAATGTGACCTCTTTCTCTCTGCCTCTCTTGTTTTAAAATAGGAATGGAAATGGCAGCATGGATCCTAATAGAAAATGCTGCCTAGAGTTTGGTTTACCTTTTCTATCTGTGACTTGTTTAGGAGAGTACTTGTAAGAGGTGTTTACAAGTGGTTCTGCGTCCTAGGTGGTTATCCTGGGCTACTGTGTGGCCCCTCAGTAAGTAGGGGGTGTTTCCAGGTTCCCATGAACATTTCTGAAGGCCATATGTCTGAATAACTTCTACAGTAGTTTATGATTGTTTTGATTTTTGGTAAATAGGTATTTAATTGGGCTTATGATCTATAAATCTATATGTTTAGCTTCCGAGAGAAGTGTTCATTCTAGTTTTTTTAACCTTAAGAAACTTTTCATTTTTAAAGAAAACCAAGTTTAAAATGTACCATTAATATTCCTTCCATTGCTGTGATTTTTTTCCCCTTATTTTTTTAGATTCAAAACCCAAGTTACTTTGGTTAGCTGAATACTGTGCCACCTCTGTATGCAAATATTATGTACATATTTATATGTGGGTATAAAAGATGTAACTTTTAGAAACTTACATTTTTATTAAAAAATTTAAACATATACAAAAGTAGACAGAACAGTGTAATTGGCCCCATTATATTTAACACCCAGGGTCAACTACCTACTCCTATCTCATCTTGTTTCTTTTGTATTTCTTCTACTCACTGCCCCCTTCCAGATGTCCTATGATGTGTTAATATTTCTGTATGAATTTCCAAACCGAAATGACTGCCCCCAAAAAACTCCACTAAAAATATCACAATACTGTTACTACACCTAAATTAACAACATTTCCCTAATATAAACAGATAGCCTGTTAATCTTTACATTTTTAAGAGGCCCGTATTTGTAGGAAAGCTGTAAATACATTTTCAAATTAAAAGTACACCATGGGAAATAAAAATCATCCTGTCTGACTCTTTGGCAAAAGGTAGGTGTGGTGGCTGTTTGTAATCACATTGTGTCTTTGCTGGATGCTCAGAACATACCTGTGTAGGAATCCTTAAAATGAAACCTATGGTGCTCTACTCCATTCTGTTTGGGAGAGCTACTAAACTTTCACTAAAAAATATGACAGTTTATTAGGAAACAGACACCTAAAGTATGAGCTTGGACAGAAGTGTGTGTTGGTGGAGTGTTTGTAAATGTTAAAAATTATTATAGAAACTAAGAGTTAACCTAAATGTGTATTGTTTTATGTCTTGTGTTTAGAAATAAAAACTGTTGTCACCACATATCATCAAGGCTACTGTTGGTATGGTGTTATGGAAAGAAACCAGGAATATTGGCTTGCACAGCTAGATTTATAATGAATGCCATTTCAGAGCAATACCTGGAAAACTGTGGAGTACTAGTGGACACATTATTTGACACATGATTTTGTCCTGAGTAGCTGATTTTGGACTTCTCTTTTTAAAAAGAGTCTCCTAACTTATGATGAAATGTGCCGATATAAATAGTTCTAGTTCAAGTATGGTTTTATTGATACTGGAGTCAAAGTAATAAACTTACTAAATGAGAGCCTGAATTTTTATGTTGATTATTCTTCATTGTTGTTGGATTCTAACTGAAGATGATGAAAGCTTTGGGGGTGGTTTGACAAGCCTCACACTTTATAGGCAGTGAAACTGGCTGAGGTAGTTTCATATTCTGCAGGGACACTTGTCTTGAGTAATTGTGCCCCGAAGTTCAAGTGTGTGATTATGAAGAGTCTCATGATAGACGATAAGAGGGTAGGTGAGGAGGCTAAAGTTGAACATGGTATTCTTTTCATTATGCAGTTGAGAAGCAGAATTGCCATTTGGATAGATATAGTATTGTTTTCTTAGATATTCTTTGAGAACAGATATCCCTGCATATTACATCTAGTTAAAGGGGAAAAGTGACTTTTACCAAAGTATAAATGAGAATGTTGGGGTCTTGGTACCATCAGTCTATCCTGATGAGCCAGATAATATTGTGTTTCTGTTCTTGTTTTTTGTTTGTTTTTTGTTTTTTGGGGTTTTTTTGGAGGCCACATGAACACTGTTGTTGAAAATTTGCTGTTGAAAAACCATGATTTTCTCCTTACTCCTCTTTTGTGTGCTGGATTCTTAAGGCACTTTCCTTTTGTGCAACTGACTGAGGAAAGTGAAGATGAAATTGGTGAAAATAGCAGATGAAGAGGCTAACTGGAACTTTGCATGCTTGTCAAAGTGAAGTAGAGGATCAAGCCACAGCTTTCATGTGGTCTTTGTTTCCTAGTTCTGTTTCTCAGGACTTATCAGTAGCATCAGTATACAGAGTTGGATGTACTTACAGTGTGCCATATCAATAGGTTCTACTGATTTATTATGGTCCAAACTCAATTTCTAGTTGTTTAAAAGACATCTGCCATGTTCCTTACATCAGCACAATTTATGGAGTGCTTAATATGAACAAGGCACTAAGGTTACAGGGAGACCTAAAATACATGTAGCATCTCAAAGAAATCAGCCTCTTTAAAATAATTTTGAAACTGTCACAATAATGCCTAATATCCACGAAGTGTAATAAGGAGTGGGTGACAGGAAGAACATTCTACAGGAAAAGTGAAGGAAAGCACAGAAAGGAGAGAAGGAAGAAGATGCTATGGGATTAGGACTTTGGGGGCATGGTAGGTCTGGGAAATGAGTAAGGAAGACAAGGAAACAAAGAGTGCTCGTGTGGAGACCCATTGGTTCCAGGCTTAACCCTTCTAGCTAGTAGTGTGAAATTTGTGAAGTTAGTCTCTGAAAGCATCATTTTCTTCACTAATGTGAAGAAGTTTAGACTAGTTTAAAACAACTATTCTTGAGCTAGAAGAGAGCGTAGCTTTCCAGGATGTTCAGAGTTTGTGTTCCAGGCCAAAACAAAGCAAATGGCCCTCATGTAATACTTTTTGGAATTGATGGACCAAACCAAATTAAACAGATGACTTGTTCTGCCAGAATTAGAAATCTTTATTGCATGAATGTGAATTTCAAATACCAGAGATTGCTGTTTCCATTTGAGAACAGGCACTTTTGTTTTCAGCATTGTGATCTGTAATCCAGTAGGGGAAATAATGGAAAAGATCTTAAAAAAAAAAGGTCCCTCCAGATCTTGGAATTTGGTGATGTTCAAGTCTAGGGTGAGTGGGCTGATGGTAGGCAACTTGGAAAACAAGGCATAAATGCTTGCAGTGGGTGTGGGAGGCT